TGTAGAGTAGATAGGGCGCCTGGCGCCATTCACAAGAGAGAGCTACATTTGGGTTATGCTGTTGGTGTTGCCCTGTTGGGCCTGGACATTGACTCACGATTCTTCTGTATCATTCTCAATTGGATGGTTACTCGGTTCCATGTGCTATCTGCTTTGGCTTTGACTACTTGGACTTCAGTGTGATTTTGCATTCTGGATTTCTGTGCTTCGTCCATACTCATGTTCCTTGCACATATTTGTACGTGGTAGCTTAGTTATTAAAAAAAGAAGAAGGAAAAAAGAAAAAAGGCAACTGCACAGGAACAGCATGGTTGCCGGTGATAAGCAGCCGGAAAAAAAAAAAAGAATAGAAGGGGCATGTCTTTTCGGAAAAAAGGGAAAAGAAAAAAGGAAAAGAAACAGAAAGGAGTATGACTTGATTCAACTGCAGTAGCAACTGGGGGGGGGGGGGGGGGAGATCCCACTAGGAAGGGGGATTGGATTGAACGCCTGAATCTGGACGAGTTTGTGGAGAGGTGCAGGAAATCCAGACCGACTGATTCTGCATCGCTGCATGAAACACATCCAGATTCAGGTGCTTAATCCAATCCCTCCCTCTTTGGTAAGTGGGACATCGCCGCATCGCCCTGGAAGTCCATTCTTGACCTTTCTCTACTTGATTTTTTCCATAATTCTTTTTCATTTCCCTTTTCTGATATTTTTTGCTTCATTTTATGTGAACATTTTATTATTATACTCAATTATTATTATTATTGTTATTAAATATTTAGTTTTACTTACCTCCAAAACCCTTGGCTTGCTAACAACAACCTGAAATCGAAGGTTCTTCACGACGTCCGTTTCTGCCACCTTCGTGATATCCAAGGGAACTCTGCTGTCGCGTCTCGCTACACCCGTCTTTAACTCCTTTGGGACATTCGACCACTCCATCTCCCGGCCTGGAGACAACGAAGGGTCCAAATGTGCCTCCAAGGTGTTCAGGACCTGCAATCCAAAATCACACCCACTTGAAATCCAGAGTCAAACCCTATCCAAAACTTTATCCAAACTATTTCTCCGACGCGCAATTAAACCTACATTCCAACCTAAACTCGCACTCACTTCATCTTCCACTCCATGTTCGAACTTCAATGACATAGCAGCTTAGCAAGACCCTATCCCCAAGCTGTACGTAAACCATATGGACACGATATGGAAACCATATCCAAACCTTATCCAAACCATATCCAAACCATATCCAAACCATATCCAAACCATATCCAAATTGTACCCAGACCATATTCAAACCATATCCAAACCATAGCAACTTAGCAAGACCCTATCCAAACCACATCCAAACCATATCCAAACCATATCCAAACCCTATCCAAACCATATCCAAACCTTATCCAAACCTTATCCAAACCTTATCCAAACCTTATCCAGACCATACCCAACCCAAATTGATTCCAAATCCAACCTAAATGCAACCCATATCCAGCCCAGATCCAACCCACAACCAATCCATATCCAATCCATGCTCGGACTCATACATGAATCGGATACAAAGTACTACAAAGGACTACAAAGTACTATACAGAGTAGTACGAAGTACGACAAAGTACTACAAACATATACCCCATCTAGATCCAGGCCTGTATCCAAACTGGTAGTCGAATATCGAAAGACCATCTGCAAACATTGTATCCAAAGCAGAATTTGACGGTTGAACTCAAATTGCAGTGCAACTTCCAGTTTGCTGAAGCCAGAAAAGATGATCCTTGGAGAGGAAATTGCCGACATCCATCGATCGAGGCATGAATTACGGTGTTTGACCGGCAATACCAAACAGCCACAGACACTTCAAAGTTCAAACGCACGCATCGCATATGCGCAGCTTTACTCTGTTTAAACCACACGTACACGGCCCCAGCCTTGCAGTCCGAAACTTGTCACCACAAGAAAACGAGGCCAAAACGTCAAACGCTGGGCCTGGCGGCCCGCCGTGGATAAATTCAATCGGCAGTCACATTTTCGTTTCACGCCTCCAGAATTTGAGGTGTCAGGCTCGCGGCCCAGGTGCCCATGTACTGGTGCTTTAAGCTCGCTGGCTTGTTCCCCCTCCTATCACTTGGCTAGCTCGGCTGGAAGAGCTTTCTGTCACATAGCATTGGACACATCACAGTGCTTAATTGTCACAACAGCACGCCGATGAGTGTGGGGGAGGTTTAGACGAATATCATATTATGATATTACTAATGTCAAGTTATAGATGTGCACAGGGGAGGGGCGAGAATCGAGGCGAGTATAGCTGCAGAAAGGTGGTTATCATGTGATGGGTATTAACATTGTGAAAGGGGGCCATGGTTGACACCTGATCCTTAGAGCCGTGTACAGGGGAAGGGCAAGTATTGAGGCGAGTATAGCTGTGACGCGCAACCTCACGCCCTGTGCTGTCTTTCGTTCGGAGTGTAAGACGTGCGGAAAGAGGCCCAAGAAAACCGCAAGATGGGGTGTGCCAAGGACTTTTGGGAAATTGAGTGTGGGGACACAGATGGAACTGAAATCCCCCGTGATGGTCCGATGAAGCAAGTCGATTAGTTTCGCGCGTCGCGGAATGCACGCGCGGACATGGCGTGAAAACAGAAAGATCCAAATTCAATCCAGAAAGTATTGTCGGGCTTCCTACCGGGCTACAGCCCGCCGTTTAGAACGGAAAGGCTCTGGCACGCTTCGCATGTCTCCTTTTCGTATCAGATCTCGTCGTCATTCGCTGGTCAGCTCCGAATCTGACGTGGATGGTCTCCGCCGAGTGGCTCTTTCCTCATGCTCGTCCTCACTCCGTATTCGGTAGAGGAAGCCCTCCGCTTCGTAGCGATCGAAACGCTGGCACTCCGTGCACAGAGTGCGGGGCCAATGGGGCGCCACTGCCGTCCACGGAATGACGATCAGCTCGTTAAGCGGCAACAATATCGAGTAGGGTGGAAAGTGCGTATCGATAATGACAAATCCGGCGGCTACGAACCCAGACCAACGGTTGGCCGGAGGGAAGTAATACTGCCCGCCGATTTGTGCGACGGCTTCTCGTACGTCCCACTCACATACACGTGTCCTTTCCTCACTGTAGGGAAAAGGTCGCGTTGAGATGGGAGATACGGGAGGCTGGCGCCCAATTGAAGGGTGCTTGTCAGTCCACATATCAATCAATCACATATATCCAGAGGCATCATTAAGAGCAAAAAATCATTCATGCGACCCTCAATCTACCCT